ACTGTAAGTCACTCTGGATAAGAGCGTCTGCTAAATGACTAAAATGTAAATGTATTATATGTAAATTACATATGGTAATGAATGTGTATGGGAATACTACAGAATTTGGGGTGCTGCAGAAAGATCAGTGCACCTCAAATCCTGACGACTGGTAAATCAAATGTCTTGAGCAGCTCTTACAAACATTGTAACATGTTCCTCATCCTTACGGAAACACCACATACATTTTACATGATCACATGTTTTCACATGTGAAGTGATCCAAAACCAAGTTTTCACATGTGAAATGTCACGTGATGTTTCCCAAAAAGACGTTTTCACATGTGAAATATCACATGTGAAGTGTTCCTAAACCACATGTTTTCACATGATTTCAGATGTGAAATGTCACTCGATGTGTTCCAAAACCACATGATTTCACATGTGGAAAATCACATGATTTCACATGTGAAATTTCACGTGAGGTGTTCCAAACCACATTTTCTTATGATTTTACACATGTGAAATCATGTGGTTTTTCCTTAAGATGGATGCCAGCAATCTGAATTTCCTGCTATGCCACCAGGTCTGTGGCCATGACAGAGATCGGCCACAGATTTATTGGCAAGAATACATTTCTGCATTTCTAAAAGTTGCCCAGAATCGACTCAATAATTGTGTGATTATCTGACAACACCAACGAAAATGTAGCAGTGCTCAGGGACACTTGACATTAAGTGTGCCCAAATGTTCTCGGGATTTAAACTTGCAACCTTTTGGTCCAGGCATTAATGTCTCAGCAGTGCCACTAGATAGTTATTTGTTACCAAGAACATATATCCACACACTCTTGAAAATAGGAGCATGGTTAAGGTACAATAAAGTTCCCTGGTTTACAAAAATGTCAAAGGTACACATAAGGTACCTTCAGAGGTACACATAGGGATTCACATGGTACCGGTCGGTACCTTTAAGGATACATGTGCAGATAATCTAGTATAATGGTAAATTTGTCTACACATTATATTAAATATAAGGTACAATCATTACTGAACTTCAAATGTAGGTGAGGGCAATGTGCTGGCATATGTTATATTTTGTGCCAACCGTCAGCTGAAATGTTGTACGAGTTTCAGTGGTTTACCTTTATGTTGATGAAGGTTGAGCACCTCTTTTTTATACTGTCAGTGCTGCAATCTTTGTAAGAACTTGTGACAATCAAAAGCTGCACTGTTAAGAGGTTACTGTTTATTTTCCAGTAGTTTAATGGCAGCTGATTGAAGGAAAGTTAATGTAAAAAAGTGATTAACTTACTGTAGGTCAGTTACTGTAGAGTTCATAGTAATTTACTGTAGCTAATTTGTCATGATCACTGAATTGAGTGTGTATTACAATGACATGGTGACCAGATATATCGTTCGGCCTTTCTATATCATATGCACTTACACCAGCCTTTGAATTGGCTTGAGAACCTCCACTGTACAAGGTCTATTGTTTGACCAGAATACAAGAGATCACATTAACTTGGATGACATTCCCTCTCATGGGAGACCAAAAAGAGCTATCTGGAAGCCACGCCTCCAATAAGATACACCTGCAATATTCTGATAGGCTGCAGCTGCTACAGTATGCTGCCAATTAGCAAGTAATGTTACATGTTGTCAACAGAATAGTCAGTGAAGGCACAGTAGGTTACTGGCATGTATTGCTAGTGGCACCAAGTTGCTTGTAGGTTACTGGCAACATTTTGCCAGTAAGTTATTGTGAACTACGATCACGGATATCCTACCAACGGGACATTAAAAACTGTAGTACCTTATGTTTCACTGAGTCGTGGCTGAACGACGACATGGATAACATACAACTGGCGGGATATACGCTGCATCGGCAAGATAGAACAGCTGCCTCCGGTAAGACAAGGGGTGGCGGTCTGTGTATATTTGTAAACAACAGCTGGTGCACGAAATCTAATATTAAGGAAGTCTCGAGGGTTTTGCTCGCCTGAGGTAGAGTATCTCATGATAAGCTGTAGACCACACTATTTACCAAGAGAGTTTTCATCTATATTTTTCATATATATCTGTCTATTGACCACCACAAACCGATGCTGGCACTAAGACCGCACTCAATGAGCTGTATAAGGCCATAAGCAAACAGGAAAACACTCATCCAGAGGCGGCTCTCCTAGTGGCCGGGGACTTTAATGCAGGGAAACTTAAATCCGTTTTACCTAATTTCTACCAGCATGTTAAATGTGCAACCAGAGGGAAAAAAGTCTAGACCACCTTTACTCCATACATAGAGATGCGTACAAAGCCCTCCCTCATCCTCCATTTGGCAAATCTGACCATAACTCTATCCTCCTGATTCCTGCTTACAAGCAAAAACTAAAGCGGGAAGGACCAGTTACTCGGTCAATAAAGAAGTGGTCAGATGACGCAGATGCTAAGCTACAGGACTGTTTTGCTAGCACAGACTGGAATATGTTCTGTGATTCTTCCGATGGCATTGAGGAGTACACCACATCAGTCACTGGCTTCATCAATGAGGTCATCGATGACGTCGTCCCCACAGTGACCGCAAGTGCATACCCCAACCAGAGGCCATGGATTACAGGTAACATCCGCACTGAGCTAAAGGGTAGAGCGGGACTCTAACCCGGAAGCTTATAAGAAATCTCGCTATGTCCTCTGACGAACCACCAAACAGGCAAAGCGTCAATACAGGATGAAGATTGAATAGTACTACACCGGCTCCGACGCTCGTCAGATATGTCAGGACTTGCAAACTATTACAGACTACAAAGCGAAGCACAGCCGCGAGCTGCCTGGTGACACGAGCCTACCAGACAAGCTAAATTACTTTTATGCATTCTTCGAGGCAAGCAACACTGAAGCATGCATGAGAGCATCAGCTGTTCCGGATGACTGTGTGATCACGCTCTCCGTAGCTGATGTGAGTAAGACCTTTAAACAGGTCAACATTCACAAGGCCGCAGGGCCAGACGGATTACCAGGACGTGTACTCCGAGCATGCGCTGACCAACTGGTAAGTGTCTTCACTGACATTTTCAACCTGTCCCTGACTGAGTCTTTAATAAAAACATGTTTCAAGAAGACCACCATAGTCCCTGTGCCCAAGAACACTAAGGTAACCTGCCTAAATGACTACAGACCCGTAGCACTCACTTCTGTAGCCATGAAGTGCTTTCAAAGGCTGGTCATGGCTCACATCAACACCATTTAGACCCACTAGAAAATTGCATTCCGCCCCAACAGATCCACAGATGATGCAATCTCTATTGCACTCCACGCTGCCCTTTCCCACCTGGACAAAAGGATCACCTACGTGAGAATGCTATTCATTGACTACAGCTCAACGTTCAACACCATAGTGCCCTCAAAGGTCATCACTAAGCTAAGGACCCTGGGACTAAACACCTCCCTCTGCAACTGGATCCTGGACTTCCTGACGGGCTGCCCCCAGGTGGTAAGGGTAGTTAACAACACATCTGCCACGCTGATCCTCAACACGGGGGCCCCTCAGGGGTGCGTGCTCAGTCCCCTCCTGTACTCCCTGTTCACCCATGACTGCATGGCCAGGCACAACTCCAACACCATCATTAAGTTTGCCGACGACTCAACAGTGGTAGGTCTGATCACCGACAACGATGAGACATCCTACAGGGAGGAGGTCAGAGACCTGGCCGTGTGGTGCCAGGATAACAACCTCTCCCTCAACGTGATCAAGACAAAGGAGATGATATTGACTACAGGAAAAAGAGGACTGAGCACGCCCCCTTTCTCATCAATGGGGCTGTAGTGGAGCAGGTTGAGAGCTTCAGGTTCCTTGGTGTCCACATCACCAACAAACTATCATGGTCCAAACACACCAAGACAGTCGTGAAGAGTGCACGACAAAGCCTATTCCACCTCAGGAGACTGAAACGATTTGGCATAGGTCCTCAGATCCTCAAAGAGTTATACAGCTGCACCATCGAGAGCATCCTGACTGGTTGCATCACTGTCTGGTATGGCAACTGCCCGGCCTCCGACCGCAAGACACTACAGAGGGTAGTGCGTACGGCCCAGTACATCACTGGGGCCAAGCTTCCTGCCATCCAGGACCTCTATACCAGGCGGTGCCAGAGGAAGGCCCTAAAAATGGTCAAAGCCTCCAGCCACCCTAGTCATAGACTGTTCTCTCTGCTACCGCATGGCAAGCGGTCCAAAAGACTTCTTAACAGCTTCTACCCCCAAGCCATAAGACTCCCGAACAGCTAATCAAATGGCTACCCAGACTATTTGCATTGCTCTGATCCATTTTTTTACTTAACACTTAGTTTTCTTAAAACTGCATTGTTGGTTAAGGGCTTGTAAGTAAGCATTTCACTGTTCACCTGTTGTATTCGGCGCATGTGACTAATACAAATTGATTTGATTTGAAATGGTTTCCAGTTAAAGAAATTACAGATTCACAGCAACTTCTAGCAACAACTTACCGTTAAATTACTGGAAAATACACATTAACCTCTGCTCTTACAAAGTTTGCAGCACAGACAGTGTCAAAGGATGTGCTCAACTTGCATCGGCATAACCATCAAAAGCTTAAACTCCTACAACACTAAATGATGCCTTTTAATGTAAAATATTCTCAATTACATTTGACATCTGTGTTTTCACATATGCTCAAATGTTACATCCCCATGTTGTCACATTTATTTCACATGAGATCATCTTTTCACATGTGCTATCATTTTCACATGTTATCACATTAACTTCACCTAAAATCACATGTGATCACGAGATCACATGAGACCACATGTGAAATTCATGTGTTTTTTCCGTAAGGGGTGTGTGCGTGACCTTGAGCGTGTGTTCATACTCTTGTGGTTTCCTTTCTTTCTGCTTGCATTTTGTTTTTATATTTTGATGTGTATTTTCTGTCATTTATGTAATTCAGGGCTCGCTCATCTGTAATAAAGGTTAAATAAATAAATACTCAAGCTTCCAAATCTATCTGACAATCCATCTGGTAATTTTTTGAAATATTTATTTAGCTATTTACAACCACTCACATTACATTCAGGAGGTAAAACAGAGAAAGCTTTCATGTACTACAGTTTAACACAAAAAAAAGCAGAAAACAGTCAGCCATACTCATAACTTAACATCAAAATGGACACAATAGTAAAAACATACAGTACAATTAGTTAATAGGCCAAAAAAGATTTTCTATGGAGAATAATAAGGAAGGAGAGAGTACTCAAAAAACGTATCAGAAATGTCATTCCAGCACTGCAGCGATGTACAGGTGGATTGTAGTGTTTGGGCGGTAGTTACATTTTGTTTCCTTGGAGTTTCTACGTGAGAAGTGTGTTGTGTCATGATCAGCACTATTGTGGTCTTCGGGTGGAGCTTATCCACTGTTGTTTAGTTTTCAGGTCTTATGTTGTTTGTTTTAACATGTACAGGATTGTTCAGTGGCTGGGTGTGCGTTTAGCGGATAGGTTTCTTCAGGGCCTCATCCACTTCCTCCTCAGGACACAGGGCGTGCCACTGGGCCACGGGACGTCTTGGATTGGCCAGCATGTCTGACCAATGGCGGAGGCCCACCCCAGAGGCGCCGAAGCCGATCCAAACCTTCCCGATGGCGTCATTGCTGCCCAGCTTGTCGTAATCGTACACCGTGATCAACACTTGGACTTTCTGCAAGAGGAAAAGGAAGAGTGGAAAAAGCGTCAAGTTAAAAAAGTCAGCTGAAATGTACAGTGCTGTTCAACATACAGCAGGAAATGGCGGGAGAGTGCAATGTTCTAGAGAAACGACGGGAGAGTCCTCAAACACAGGTCGCCCGACCCACAGGAAAACCTGTTATCACGACCCCAAGATATCTTATGGGAAGTTTGGTGTACATACCTGTATTTGGCCGAAGGGGATCTCGAAGCTGAAGCTTTCGTTGAAGTAGGGGTTCAGAGTGTTCTGTTTGACTGTAGTCTTCTTCTTCTTCAGCCGCTTGCCTTGGTGCTGCAGCACCACTTTAACAAAGGGATCTGGTCGGAGAAGACATGGGGTAGAGAGGAATGTTAGTTACAGAAAACAGAGGTCAAACAGAGTGTGAGCCACTTCGATGAAGAAGATTGCGGTCAAATGATTGTACAGTAGATTAATCTGTACCGTCTGCAACTCTGTAATGCTTCCCAGTGGTTTAAGTTTAATTACTTCAACAAAATGTAGGCAACCAGATGTCATTAATAGGTCACAGCATGGCTAGTATTGACTAGGAGAGTGTAATGTCACAGCATGGCTAGTATTGACTAGGAGAGTGTAATGTCACAGCATGGCTAGTATTGACTAGGAGAGTGTAATGTCACAGCATGGCTAGTATTGACTAGGAGAGTGTAATGTCACAGCATGGCTAGTATTGACTAGGAGAGTGTAATGTCACAGCATGGCTAGTATTGACTAGGAGAGTGTAATGTAACAGAATGTCTAGTATTGACTAGGAGAGTGTAATGTAACAGAATGTCTAGTATTGACTAGGAGAGTGTAATGTAACAGAATGTCTAGTATTGACTAGGAGAGTGTAATGTAACAGAATGTCTAGTATTGACTAGGAGACAGTAACATCACAGCATGGCTAGTATTGACCAGGAGACAGTAACATCACAGCATGGCTAGTATTGACTAGGAGACAGTAACATCACAGCATGGCTAGTATTGACTAGGAGAGTGTAATGTCACAGCATGGCTAGTATTGACTAGGAGACAGTAACATCACAGCATGGCTAGTATTGACCAGGAGACAGTAACATCACAGCATGGCTAGTATTGACTAGGAGACAGTAACATCACAGCATGGCTAGTATTGACCAGGAGACAGTAACATCACAGCATGGCTAGTATTGACTAGGAGAGTGTAATGTAACAGAATGTCTAGTATTGACTAGGAGACAGTAACATCACAGCATGGCTAGTATTGACCAGGAGACAGTAACATCACAGCATGGCTAGTATTGACTAGGAGACAGTAACATCACAGCATGGCTAGTATTGACCAGGAGACAGTAACATCACAGCATGGCTAGTATTGACCAGGAGACAGTAACATCACAGCATGGCTAGTATTGACCAGGAGACAGTAAACATCACAGCATGGCTAGTATTGACTAGGAGACAGTAACATCACAGCATGGCTAGTATTGACCAGGAGACAGTAACATCACAGCATGGCTAGTATTGACTAGGAGACAGTAACATCACAGCATGGCTAGTATTGACCAGGAGACAGTAACATCACAGCATGGCTAGTATTGACTAGGAGACAGTAACATCACAGCATGGCTAGTATTGACCAGGAGACAGTAACATCACAGCATGGCTAGTATTGACTAGGAGACAGTAACATCACAGCATGGCTAGTATTGACCAGGAGACAGTAACATCACAGCATGGCTAGTATTGACTAGGAGACAGTAACATCACAGCATGGCTAGTATTGACTAGGAGACAGTAACATCACAGCATGGCTAGTATTGACCAGGAGACAGTAACATCACAGCATGGCTAGTATTGACCAGGAGACAGTAACATCACAGCATGGCTAGTATTGACTAGGAGACAGTAACATCACAGCATGGCTAGTATTGACTAGGAGACAGTAACATCACAGCATGGCTAGTATTGACTAGGAGACAGTAATATCACAGCATGGCTAGTATTGACTAGGAGAGTGTAAGGACTAATAGAGGGTCACCTGACAAGCCTCCACAGTCCATCGCCTTCAGGTGCTTGGCCTCCATGATGTTGATGGTCAATTTACCGGCTGTGGGGACGTAGCGCAGAGAGATACAGATGTCCCCTAGCTTCTCTACCTGTGACCAGACAAACACACAGTTATAGGTTGGTATACAGAGACAGACAGACAGACAGACACAGACAGGTAGATGTAAAAAAAACATGCACCCAAAACCCAAACAGACTGTTTTCATCCTTTCTCACCTCCTCTTTCTCTCCTCCAACCAGATCCCTCCATTCGTGGAGTGGCTGAGCCAGGTCCACACTGTTCATGGAGATGGAGATCTGTCCAATCACATCGTGTTTACCAAAGCGATCAAAGTCAAAGACCTGCAGGACCAGAGTCTGACCGCCCAGCTCCTGGTAGGGGATCTGTGGAGGGACACACAGAACAGGGAGATGACGGTCAGGACAGAGAGTTCTCGACCACAGAAACCTCAGTACTGTAAGAGCTTTTCTAAGGCTTTTACATATACACATGAATGAATACCACATCTCACTATCGCCATCTGTTCTCCAGCACCACAGACTGACCTTGAAGATGAAGGTCTCATTGAACACAGGGCAGAGGTTCTTGCGCTGGACTTTGGTTTCAAACTTCTTCTTCTTGTCTGGCAGCATGTAAACCTTGACATAGGGGTCCGAGGTGCCGCCCATGTCCATGGCTGGCAGGTTCTCAGCCTGCAGGATGCCCACGATCAGCTGGAAGAGGGGGCAGAGAAGGGTAAAAGGTCAGAGGTAAGCAATGGCCTTCCAAATATTTTTAACAATGTCCGTAAGAACTGAACGCAGTGATCATTTAGGCAAATGTAGGCCTGGATTCAATCCATATAGGGCTATTGCGATTCTGCTTTTAAAGGGAATGATAAACGCAACAAATGACGTCTCAATCGGAAATTACATTTAAAAGTCAGTTGAAGTGCACTGCGCTATTATGCGGCTTGAATTGAATCCCGGTAAACATTGCATATATGTGGCAAATGAGATGTGTACTGCAGCAGCACTCCAAACTCAAGTGCTGTGCCGTTGTTTTGAAGTGTTACGTTTGTGTTTGGTAAAATCTCAGGTATGTTGCGCATCTGCGTTTTAGCAGATAGAAAATGTCCCCTGTAAAGGTCACAGCTTAAAGCTGAGCCATTAAGAGGAAAAGGTCAAAGGTCACTGAAGACACAAATAAGAGGTCAGAGGTTAAAGCTGAGATCTGAGCAGACAAAGAGCAGAGATCAGAGAGCCTTTAGACATGTCAATAGTCAGACACTTCGCATCCAGAAGGTCAAATGTCAGGGAGGACAAGACACACACGCACACGAACGGACACACACACACACACACACACACCTGGTTGTCAGTGAAGTTGTAGTCCAGGGTGAACTCCAGTTTTCCAAAATTCTCTTTTTCTTCCTCCTCTCCTTCCTTACCCTCTCCATCCTTCATGACAGAGAACATCACATCAATCATTAATCACAGGTATCATTACACAGCCACTGCATTAGTCTCTCCCTTCACACAGATACTGTCACTACATCTGGAAATCACTTCAGATCATTTGAAAACCAGTTGCAAATTAGGTACTTGAACCCATTACACCACCCACTATATTGCCCTCCCTCCCTCTGTCTCCTCTCACCTTGCCCTCCTCTCCTTCTCCGCCTCCCTCCTTCTTCCTTCTGCCTCGGCCTCCTTTCCTCTCGCGTACTTTCTTGGGCTTCTTGCCCTTGTTGATGCACTTCTTCCAGATACAGAAACCTAGACAGGCCACCAGAGCCAGCACCACCACCACTATGGCTCCTATTGCCCACATGGGCACTGGGGGAGAGACAGACATAGGCCTTATGTAGCCTTATGACATCTATAATACAACATACATAACAACATACATATAATATACATATCATACTTATGTAGCCTTATGACATATATAATACAACATACATAACAACATACATATAACATATATAATCCTTATGTAGCCTTATGACATATATAATACAACATACATAACAACATACATATAACATACATATAATCCTTATGTAGCCTTATGACATCTATAATACAACATACATAACAACATACATATAACATACATATAATACTTATGTAGCCTTATGACATCTATAATACAACATACATAACAACATACATATAACATACATATAATACTTATGTAGCCTTATGACATCTATTATACAACATACATAGGCCTATGTAGCGTTATGACATATATACTGAGTGTACAAAATATTAAGAACACCTTCCTAATATTGAGAACAGCCTCAATTCTTCGGGGCATGGACTCTACAAGGTGTCAAAGACATTCCACAGGGATGCTGGCCCATTTTGACTCCAATGCTTCCCACAGTTGTGTCAAGTTGGCTGGATGTCCTTTGGGTGGTGGACCATTGTTGATACACATGGGAAACTGTTAAGCGTGAAAAACCCAGCAGCGTTGCAGTTCTTGACACAAACCGGTGCGCCTGGCACCTACTACCATACCCCATTCAAAGGCACTTAAATCTTTTGTCTTGCTCACTCTCTGAATGGCACACATACACAAGCCATGTCTCAATTGTCTCAAGACTTTAAAATCCTTCTTTAACCTGTCTCCTCCCCTTCATCTACACTGATTTGAAGTGGAATTAACAAGTGACATCAATAAGGGATCATGGCTTATTTTTATTTTTTGGTAAAGCAATTCAAAATGTGCAATATAGAAAAACAAACAAGAGTATACTACAGAGTATCCAAACATTGCAAACAACAGTCAGGGAATACAGACTATACATTATATAAAGACTTTGTAAAACTTACAAACATTCAAAGGGATCATATCTGTCAACTGTATTTCCCTGGACAGTCTATGTCATGGAAAGAGCAGGTGTCCTTAATGTTTTGTACACTTAGTGTATAACACAACATACATAGGCCTTGTGTAGCCTTATGTTATGGAATAATAATATTTGAGATGTTATTTTGAGGAAGGATGGAAAGGAGAGAACAAGCAATGGTAAAACAATATTAACTTACTTTTGAGTTTATGATCTGTGATAAGTGGAGGAAAAGCAGGGGATGAAATGAAAGAGAGTAAATGATGAGAGGACATTATGTGAAATGAAATGACACACACAGAATGTGTGTGTGTGTGTGTGTGTGTGTTCATTGTGTTCAGGGCTCACTTGGCATGTGGGTGAGTTCGTTGAAGAACTTGCTCTTCATGTTCTTGAACTGGTGGTCAGAGTGGTGGGTGGAGGGAGGGGCGGGGCCTGGGGGCGGCTCTTCTCTCTCCTCAGCCGCCCGACGGGCCCGCGCTTGCACACTGGCCAATCGCATCGCAGCTTAGCTAAAAGGCAGAGGAGACAGAAGAGCAATCACTTTGGAGCAGTGTAAGAAATATTTTAATATGCCATGAATTCTAAACATCCTGGTAAGTAAGTAAACTGGATAGGGTTAGGGTTGCGGCTAACCAACTCAGTGGCCTTGTGGTTTGAGTGTCCGCCCTGAGACTGGAAGGTTGGGAGTTCGATACACTGAAGAAAATAAAGGTTTTTAAATGGTTCTTCCTCAGCTCTTAAGGTTCCTTGGAGAACTTTTGCCCGTTAAAGAACCTTTGAGTCAAGTGTGGGGTCCTTGACCTGGCATCTACAGTTCTTCAGAATTCTGAAAGGTTCTTGAAATGTGTGGAAGCCTGCAGATGTGTCCCATTCACAGCAAATTGGTTAGTGTTAACTAACTGTTTATTTTCCAGTGTAACATTTCTAGTGTTGATTCAAGAGTTAAATTAACACTCATTGGTGTAAAGGAACCCCAGTGTTGGTATTATTATCATATTTCCCAGCATGCTCTATTGCAGGTACATTTTTGCATGAACATTGATTAATTAATTAATCTTATGCTACTCAAATATAAATAACATACATTTTTCTAAACTATTCCAATCTGTTACTTGGACTTATTGCACCCGTTACTGAAATGGTTGTTCCAGTTTAGATGTTTAAGGTAGTCTCATATCTTAGTCTTCCCAACCGTGGCAGTCATTCTGAATGCAGGTTGCGGGTTGGAATGTTGGATATCCTCAGTCTGGCTGGATTCCAATAGGAATTACACATCACTTTGCAAGGCAGCATAATGTGTCATGCAGGCCTGATGTGGCCTGAAAACAATGAATTCTAGGCCACCTTATTAGGATAAAACTAGGTCTTCAGAAGAAAACCTTATGAAATACGTATTCTTATGTCTTAAATAATTGTATTTTAATGACAAAATATTAACTTAGGATCTCACTTGTTGAAGGCCACAGGATTGAAAATTAATGAATGCAACAACCACGTCTCTGTCACCAGCAAACACCGTCATAGGTGGTACTGGTAACTACAATTCACTGGAAAGGCACCCTGGGAAATAAGTCTTAAACCCTACAGCAGGGCTATTCAATTCAGGTCCTTGAGGGCTGAAACATTTCTGATTTGGATTTTTGTATGATTCTTCAAACAACCATCAAATTCATGGTTCTCTAGAGACCATAAAATAATTCCCCTATGAAATCGCTCTCAATAACCTTATTTGGTTCCAACTTGCACCTTTATTTTAAAGAGTGTACCCTGCTGAGTCATGCCATTTTTCCCGGAACATGGTAAGTAAGTAAGTAAACTGAGTCAGACCAAATGCACCTTTGCTTGGCACTCAGCTTTAAAGAGACAGATTGGTAGGTAAGGCCCTGTGATAGAATAGCGTCCTGTCCAGGGGTTGTACTTGTAACACACTGTAAAAAAGCCAACTTAACCAATTGTTTAATCAGCATTATTCTGTGAGTTTGGTGGACATAAGAAAGACAATAAATTGAGCTAACGTGTGAGTCAAAATACAAATTCATGTTTGTCTTCAATGTAGAAAAACCAACTTAACTTAATCAGCATTATTCTGTGAGTTGGGTGGACAAGAAATGTAGCTAATATGTGAACGTTTGTTCACTCTACAAACGTTTCTATAAGTGAGCTGAATTTGAAAAAGCTTGTTGAGTAAGATTACAAATGTACAGTATGTTTGCTCAAAACCACGACCATCGTTATGTTTTCCAGCATGCTCTATTGCAGGTTGATTTTCAGAATTGTTTGTTTCAATACCTGTGTTTTTGCATATACATTAATTGGTTGATTACCCAAACATAAATAACATACACTGCTCAAAAAAATAAAGGGAACACTTAAACAACACAATGTAACTCCAAGTCAATCACACTTCTGTGAAATCAAACTGTCCACTTAGGAAGCAACACTGATTGACAATAAATGTCACATGCTGTTGTGCAAATGGAATAGACAACAGGTGGAAATTATAGGCAATTAGCAAGACACCCCCAATAAAGGACTGGTTTTGCAGGTGGTGACCACAGACCACTTCTTAGTTCCTATGCTTCCTGGCTGATGTTTTGGTCACTTTTGAATGCTGGCGGTGCTTTCACTGTAGTGGTAGCATGAGACGGAGTCTACAACCCACACAAGTGGCTCAGGTAGTGCAGCTCATCCAGGATGGCACATCAATGCAAGCTGTGGCAAGAAGGTTTGCTGTGTCTGTCAGCGTAGTGTCCAGAGCATGGAGGCGCTACCAGGAGACAGGCCAGTACATCAGGAGACGTGGAGGAGGCCGTAGGAGGGCAACAACCCAGCAGCAGGACTGCTACCTCCGCCTTTGTGCAAGGAGGAGCAGGAGGAGCACTGCCAGAGCCCTGAAAATGACCTCCAGCAGGCCACAAATGTGCATGTGTCTGCTCAAACGGTCAGAAACAGACTCCATGAGGGTGGTATGAGGGCCCGACGTCCACAGGTGGGGGTTGTGCTTACAGCCCAACACCGTGCAGGACGTTTGGCATTTGCCAGAGAACACCAAGATTGGCAAATTCGCCACTGGCACCCTGTGCTCTTCACAGATGAAAGCAGGTTCACACTGAGCACATGTGACAGACGTGACAGAGTCTGGAGATGCCATGGAGAACGTTCTGCTGCCTGCAACATCCTCCAGCATGACCGGTTTGGCGGTGGGTCAGTCATGGTGTGGGGTGGCATTTCTTTGGGGGGCCGCACAGCCCTCCATGTGCTCGCCAGAGGTAGCCTGACTGCCATTAGGTACCGAGATGAGATCCTCAGACCCCTTGTGAGACCATATGCTGGTGCGGTTGGCCCTGGGTTCCTCCTAATGCAAGACAATGCTAGACCTCATGTGGCTGGAGTGTGTCAGCAGTTCCTGCAAGAGGAAGGCATTGATGCTATGGACTGGCCCGCCCGTTCCCCAGACCTGAATCCAATTGAGCACATCTGGGACATCATGTCTCGCTCCATCCACCAACGCCACGTTGCACCACAGACTGTCCAGGAGTTGGCGGATGCTTTAGTCCAGGTCTGGGAGGAGATCCCTCAGGAGACCATCCGCCACCTCATCAGGAGCATGCCCAGGCGTTGTAGGGAGGTCATACAGGCACGTGGAGGCCACACACACTACTGAGCCTCATTTTGACTTGTTTTAAGGACATTATATCAAAGTTGGATCAGCCTGTAGTGTGGTTTTCCACTTTAATTTTGAGGGTGACTCCAAATCCAGACCTCCATGGGTTGATACATTTGATTTCCATTGATAATTTTTGTGTGGTTTTGTTGTCAGCACATTCAACTATGTAAAGAAAAAAGTATTTAATAAGATTATTTCATTCATTCAGATCTAGGATGTGTTATTTGAGTGTTCCCTTTATTTTTTTGAGCAGTGTACATTTTTCTAAACTAATTAAATCTGTTAGTAGTTGGACTTTTTGCACCCGTCACTGAAATGGCTGTTCCAGTTTAGATGATTTCGATAGTGTCAATAATTAATCTTCCTTACCCCGGCAGTCATTCTCAATGTAGGTTGCGGGTGATTAAACATTCCAGTTGTTGGATATCCTCACTCTAGATTTCAATAGGAACTACACATGACTTTGCAAGTCAGCATTGAGGTTTGAATAAATGTACAGTGTAAGGCAACCAGCTGCAATAGGATTGTGTGTTTGCTCAACAAAATGGCATTGAGGTTGATTCAACGTACAATTGTAAGGCAACCATCTCTCGCGCTCGTGTTGTCCCTTCATTTAAAGCAAAGCCTAAGGGATAAGGCTTTGCCTTGGCTTCCAATCTGTCTCCCTCCAGCTCTCTTTCTATCTCTCTCTCGCCTACTATTTGTGTGTATATACTGACATGTATGTGTAACTGATAGATACACACACACACGTCTGGAATGTCTACATGTTAATGGTTTTAAATGTACCTAGATTGTAAAGTATTTTTGTCTGTAATGTCTTTTTCATTATGTGTCAGACCCCAGTAAGTAGGATCCTAAATAAAATCTCCCTCTCTGTCTCTCTCTCCTTCTCTCTCTATGATTTTTTTAGTCTGCGGTCCCCTTTCTTGCAATCCATTATCCAGCTCATCAACATATCTCTCTTTCTCCTCTCTGTTTCCTCATACTCCCTCTCCCTTTACCTCCCAACTTCCTATACACTCTTTCCCCCCTCCGATACTAAACTTCCTACTCATCCCTTTTGAGACTTTCTTCCCCCATCCTCACCCACTGCCTCCCTCTCACTCCACCCCTTTCTCTCACCAGTTACTCTCTCTATCTACTCCCTCGCTCTCCTCCCATCTGTGTCCCCTATCCCCTCCCTCCCTCCATGCCTCCCTCTCACCACCCCTTTCTTTCATCAGTTACGCTCTCTATCGCTCTCCTCCCTTCCATGTCCCTCTATCTCGTTCTCCCTCCCTCTCTCCCTCCCTCCTTCCTCCCTTGGTTCATGGCGTGAGTGTGTCGAGGTACAGTGAAACTCTCCTTCCTGTGCCCACTGTGTCCATCACTAATCCCCCACACACTCCGACCCTGCTACATCTGCTGTCCTCCTCTCACTGTGCACAGACACGTAACAAGATGAATTGCCAAAGGTAATCCCCAAATCCCAGAGCTTAACTAAATTAGGGACAGTTCAGTTCGCTCTCTACTCCCGTCCCTCTCCTATCCCCTACTATCCTTTATCCATCCTAAGCCACTACCATTAACCCCCACAACATCACCTGCTGTCACACAGACAGATCCCACCTAGTTATCCAACCAACAATCACATTTCCATAACAATATCTAATTTGTGGCTTGTCAAATGAACCTGTTAAATCCCAGCAGATAGAGTGAATAAGCGCAGGATTAGTAAGCACAGCTATGTGACGGTGAGTGAGGGGAGGCAAACATAAGAGACTGCTGGCTAATAGGCTTGTGACTTCACCGGTGAAGGTCACACACACGCGCACGCACGCTAACACACACACGCACAGTGCGGTGAGAGGGGGGCTAGCTTGGTTGAGTAGCATACGGTCGGCCACCACTTCTCACTCACTGTGGTATACCCCCTTAAGCTGATCATGGTGGCAGAATGCAGGGAGTCAGGGCCGGACCTTAATGATTAAATACGGGTTAACTGGTAGATCACTGTGTCAGTGATTTGGGGCTTTCATGCCTGACTGACCACTCTGTTGGAGGGTTCTTTCTTCACTTCCGGTCTTGGCGAAAGTCACTGTTATTCCAAGGGTTTTATGGTCACATACTAGTATAAGCCTTTGCATTGGTTTGTGCTGGCCAAGGTCATTGGAATAGGCCTAGCTAAACAGGCTAATGGTTGATTCTATTGGGCAATAGGCAGTTAAAGTTATTCTGGAATGAAATTCAAATAAAATAATCTCCTTAAGAATTTGGATTGATGAACTCATGTTGGAAAGTGCCTGTCTAGATTCAGCTGTAAATTTGTAGTTCACAAAGGTTAAGGTTTGGATTGGGGATGCGAAGACTGATATTGTGACCAATACCTCACATGACATACTATATATACATACAGTACCAGTCAAAAGTTTGGACACACCTACTCATTCAAGTTTTATTATTTTTTTTTTAAACTATTTTTTACATTGTAGAATAATAGTGAAAACATCAGAACTATGAAATAACACATATGGAATCATGTAGTAACCAAAAAAGTGTTAAACAATTCTAAATATATTTTAAAGTATATACTTTACATGTTGTAAATGCTTGATTATGAGTTGATTATTTGAATCAGGTGTGCAGTGTTAGGGCAAAAACTAAATTGTGCACCCCTTGGGGTCCCCAGGACCAGAATTGGGAAACACTGCAGTAGGCCTGTACTGGGCCATCTGTTACAGGTGGTAACATCCTCACCCCTAATAATAGGCACTTACCGACACCTTTCTGCAGACCTGAAAGAATTGGATGGCTATCAGGGATATGGTTAGCCCTCAGGTACCCTGGTCCCCAGGCTACTGCCAGCTGGTATAGGGGATGCTGCTATTGTTTACACCCATCCAGCTGTCTTTTAACTGCAGGGGGAGTGACTAGTTTTGGGATTGGTGATTTGGGTCATATCTCCATGGGAGAACAGACCAGACAATGCCAAACAAGTAGGTACAAACATGGAAACTGAGGACAGAGTAGCCTAGTAGTTTTGTTAGAGAGATGACAGGAGAGGTGAACAGCTGGCAGTGGGATTTTGAGAGGGTTCAAGGCTTAGTAGCTATGTGGTGATCTAAAGACAGTTCCATTATGGTCAGGATGTTTATGGCTGACTGTATGGCCCTCTCTTTTGTGCAAGTCAGTGAAATAAAATAGAAGTTGACCATCTGAGACTGGAATGCACTGTCTCATCTTCATCATCACCATTGTCATCATCATCAAGCCTGCCTCGTGCACAGCGCATGCATGGTGCAAACTGTATCCAACATCATAGCAGTACATCTCCTCTAATTTGGTGCTTTTGCCCCCACTAACAGATACAACTACAGGATTTAACGGCTTACCAAGCAAACATGGCACAAGACACAAATGTACCCGTCCAAAATTATTAACACCCAAAATAAGCGCCAACTTCAATATTTTATATTGGCTGATTGTCACGCACGCAGGGAGCTTTGGAGGGGGGAGGGGGTGGACATTAGACACATGCAGACAGAAAATCAGAGGTGAGGTAGCTACGGTAAAATAATTGTTCAGAGTTGTTTTTCACCTAGTGAAAGTAAACTGGGATAAAAATACATGATCAATCCAATTAAAGAAGTGTCGCCAACTTTGGACCAGTGGAAACGGCTAAGCATATTGCTCCATGAACACAGAACACAATACAGGGTCGTTACAATATTATGCGTAAAGGCTTGGATAGGCCTATGGCTCAGAATATGGAATAGAATGTGAATGGTAGGCTACTCAAGTATTAATTCAAAGAAGCAGTAGCATATGTCAGTTAAAAATATATATATTAATCAGATATGGCAAATATTGTGCCCATCAATCGGTAACCCCGGACGTCCCATGCGCCATAACCGCTCGCTTGCGGATTTACCGAGCATAGCAAGGGTTTGAATGGCCATCTAATTATACACTTTTAAAATGCAGTGTAGAGTATAGGCTACGCCGCGAACATACACCAACAGAACTCACCCGATTGAAATCCCCAATTTAAACCCAAACGTATTCCTTTTGTTAAAAACGATGAATTGTGGACTCCGTGTTGGAGAGAACTGTTGCGCTGCGCACCACCCACTCTATCGTCGCTCTTTCTCCCTCCCCCTGTCCGTTAATCTCGCCGTGCCAACTACTTACCATCCACGTTATAATCCACTGGTCACCATTGCTCTCCCTCACTTGAAACGCATGTGAAACACCAAAACCCGACTTCACTCAAATTAAGCTTTCCATCCCCATCTGTTTGGCTATTATTTATCGCGTGCAATGCCTGGAAACTACAATCCATTGCTTTGAAAGAGAACAAAACTACTTTAAAGGCCATTTGTCAGTCTGGGCTTTTTTTCCCTTGGTCTATGGTCATCCTTACTGTTTGTCATGGTTCATCTTCAGACTGTGGGAACCAATGAATTGGGTAAAGAGCCCAAGTTATTGATAGCCAATTTCAAAGGATGTCTGGTATCATGTAAATATATAGTTATCAAATTGTTTTATGCATGTAATATACGTTTCCACAGACCACTAGGTGCTCTAGTAAATGTGGTTACCCTAGTTGACGGTTGTTTTATGGGCCCTGTATTAACACACTATGACGATATGTAATGGCGCCCCTCTGTGGTCATCAGAGGGAGTGTCCCTTAAACCTCATGTCAACCTTTCCCCATTATGACCCTCAGTCACTGTAGTAGGCCTACAATTGTCAGTATTTATCATTTCTATGAAGAAAAAAAATGCACACTCATGAAGTACGCTTTGGGCTCATGGCAACCAGCATTTGCATTAAACGAACAGTCAATCCAGCTCAAAATGTTTTATTCTTCAGATTCAGGGCAGATTGAAATAACCAGTTATACTTAATGAAAAGTACACTTGTGTTGGGTATTAAACAAAGCACCAGAATAAACTGATACAACATCCATTACTCCACAGCAATATTTTTGTGATCTTTTTGCTCATTCGTTTCACATGCCTTGCCTCCCAAACATAGTGTAGTCAAATTTAACAGCTGCATTGCTCTGTCCCAGCTCAACACCTTCTCCTCCTTATAGATGCAAAGGCAGCAGAATAGAGCAGAGAAGCCAGGAGTCCTTGTATGAGGCTGTAGCCTGTATGTGGTTTAGCTCTGGCCTCCCAGGGTGTGCTTGTCAAACAGGTACTCAGCCATCTTGTTTTTGACAGCATCCATCTTGGTGAGGTTGGTGACGTGGTCGCCCAGCTTCTTAATGGCCTCCACCTGTTCATTCAGGTAGTGGGACTCCAGGAAGTCACACAGCTAAAGGAGGAAAACACAGGTCAGACAAGAGAATAACTACAGACACTACTGTAGATGCAGTAACACACAGCCTGGTGGTAATGACATAAGGGCAGATAACTAACTCAATTAGGTGTTTGCAGCTGTCCAACTTATGTATTTGCTGCATTTTTTGTATAGTAGGCATTCTTGTACATCTGTGGGCTATTGTGTTTGGGTGAAGAGGCAGGTCACACAAGCCTGTGTCATTAGTTAGCAGAGCTACAACAACCTGATCAGCTCCTGGGACAGTACAGTAGCTGTATTCTATGTGATGTATACATGTGACGTGTAGTTCCCCCATAAAGAGGGGGACATTACTTACATGGGGGTCGACCTTGTCGGAGGCAATCTTGTGCAGGTCCAGCAGGGCCTGGTTTACATTCTTCTCCAGCTGCAGAGCACACTGCATGGCCTCCAGGCCATTGCCCCACTCATCACGATCTGGCTTCTACACAGGACAGAGGGAACACAGGAGGGTTAGGGACTACTAGCAGACGTTCCTATGTATACCTACTAACAGTCAACAGTTAGCCAGTATATCTGGCACATAGAGATTAAACGAACTGGAAACAATTCAGCAAAAAGTCAAGATGGGGTCAATTTAACACAGTCAATAGGAAAAACCACAAGTCACAGATCCGGTGTGGCTCAGTCGGTAGAGCATGGCACTTTCAACGCCAAAGGTAATTGGTTCACTTCCTGCTGGGGCTACCTATATGTAAAATGTATACACGCATGACTAAGTGGTCCTCTGTAGCTCAGCTGGTAGAGCACGGCGCTTGTAACGCCAAGGTAGTGGGTTCGATCCCCGGGACCACCCATACACAAAAAAATGTATGCACGCATGACTAAGTAGCTTTGGATAAAAGCGTCTGCTAAATGGCATATTATATTATTATTATTATTATTATTATTATAAGTCACTTTGGAAAAAAGCACCTCTTAAATGGAGTAAGCCTATATATTAACATTGGCAGAGTCATGGATAGTTATACCCCTCAGGCTGTTTTAATTCAGTGGTTATGGAGGCAGTGCGTTTAGACATACGCAGTCAGGCCATTTCTCATCTGAGCACCTTGCTGTAATACCAGGGCAGCTACATAGGGCGTGCCTTACAATGAACTCTGCATTAACACGAATACTCACTCAAAACAATGACACCAATACATCAAGTCTACAGTATTAGAAAGAAAGTTACATCTAGAGCCATAGAGGGTTCATCAGCTTGTCCCTATAGATTCTAGATTAACCATTTGGTTCCTGGTAAAACCTTTTCAACTGAGATCTTGTTCTTAAAGGATTCTTTCTACCATAGAGAAGATTTCAGACAACCCTCTTCTTTGTAGAAGTTGAAGAACCCTTTTTGCCCATCTAACAGTCTACAATGCAAATTAGTGTTTCAACACTCACCTTGATGTCCTGGAGGAAAATGCGTCCACCTCTCTTGTTCTGGAAGGAGAGCAGCTTGTCGGCGTGCTCGCGCTCCTCGTCGCTGTTCTCCTTGAAGAAATGAGCGAAGCCAGGCAGAGCCACATCGTCACGGGAGAAATAGAAAGCCTGGGTGGATCGACATAAAACAGTGTGGTTAGAAAAAAACATGCCAAACATGACTCAGCATTCCGTTCTTGTTGTGGCAACTAAGCATGACTAACACAGCAATACGATCCGAGAAGTCATTAGCCTACTTGGTAACCTGCCAATTAACCTGTCAAGATGTTACACTCCGTCCTAGGATAGATCTCAGTTTAATTTGAATGGATAGGTCTACCTCGAGGTTGATAATTGTCTAGCCAACTAAAACAACCACACAACTTACAAAAAAAAGATGGCACATTTTTAAACTGCAGTAAAAGTGCAGTAACTGCTCTCGACTGTGGTATTTTAGACGCAGTAAGAGCAGTGTATTGCACTGCAATCTTTTTTCGTAAGGGTGTACTCCAGAGTTCAGTTTTACTTGGCTATTGCCTAAGCCTACAGAAAGGTAAATAACGTTTAGACCCAGGCGTAATACACAATACTGCGTAGAGCAAGAAAATGGTCCTCTTGGTAGCCTATTGTAGTCTCCTTACCATTGAAGTGTAGGTGTAAGAGGCAAACATCTCCATGTTGATCATCCGGTTGATGGCAGCTTCGCTGTCGCGGTGATAGTTCTGGCGGATCTGAGACTCCATTTTGGCAGATTTTCTTATTTTATATCAAACTGAACGGTACAAAAATAGAGTTTCTTAGACTATGTTGCTATTAGAGTTCAAGTACGTGTTAAGTTATAAATCCGGAATGTTATATAGTGCTGGAGGATGGCAGAAGAGTTCCGTTCAATCACTGTTGAAGCAAGAACTTCTAGATGCTTCTTCCCAGAGTTGTGAAATAGAAGGAGCCTTGTTCGCTCTATTTATTGTTCCAAACAGAATGCGTCAGTGAAATCGAGCCTCACAGAGCGCAGCCAATCACGTTTAGAATTTCAACAGCAAATAGGCGGATCATTTGATGATGATCTCACCCACTCATACACAAATCAATGTTTGTTACAAAGTAACATTTTATTAGTAACATCTAAAACAGTATCAACCAAAAGCAGTGCTACAGTTTAAATACAGCTGTTATTGTTGCAAAATGTGTGTGTATTATATCCTTTGAAGAAAATAGTAGTAATTTGACAATTATTTCTGATAATAGGCTAATTAATAAATATTTAGACTATGAAAGGAATTGAACTTGCTCCTCTATGGTTGTGACGCAGTTCTGAAACTTCTGTTTCATTCTGTAATTGCGCATGTTTCAATAGCATATGTAGCTTAATTATTTACCTTTTTCAGAATGCAGTCAAAATAAAAACTCTAGGGTTTATCACACTTTGGAATATAAACTCAATATGCAGTATGAAGTATGGGAATAAAGTACGTGGACAGGGACAGATATGATGGCTTTTGCATACATTTTATTCGACAATACATCTTTCGGTTTTGAAATGGCATATTGTAGTTGACAAATGGTTTATCAAAGTTGATCACATTAGCCTCCAATAACTACACAAAATTAGTACCATACCAATAACCATACAAAGGTTATTAAGCTAAAACTGTGTAGTGGAAAACAGTTATCAGCTAATGAAATAACAGACCATAGTAATAAAGTAACCTTCCTAACAACTTCAGTTCACATGACCTGATCTTCCATAACTGCTGACATGGTGCTTTCATGGTGCTGGGTTATTGCTCAATACAGCCATGTAGTTGCAACATCATTGGGATTCATAAGAACTAGGTCTTCTGGGGCAGTATGCATCAAGCATCTCAGAGTAAGATTGCTGATTTAGGATCAGTTTTGCCTTTTAGATCTTATTGAATAATATCCCTTTCATACATAAACCGAATCCCACTAATTGACCATGCCTGCTCCTTTTTGCCTGATTTTTTGTGAACGGGTAGGTGGTAAAAAAACAAGGAAAAATAAAACCCACCTAAAGACCTAGTCATGAATCCTGCATTTTCACAGACCCTGTAACCAAAATACAGGTATCAGGTCTGTGTGAATGGTTCTCTGCTTTTTTTGCTGGTAAATTCATTAACATTTCCATTGTTTAATATCTCCCTAATTTGATGCAAACAGCCCCCATGGTTTAACAACACCCCCCTACTCCCACCCCTCCCAATTTGCCAGTTACCCACTGATATGTATAAAAAGTGTATACCTGCAAGAAAGTGGTAAATAAGGGGCAGTTTGAAATATAAACATAATATTTTTTACAGGTAATGTACCCAAGAGTACGTGGACAGGGAGGACCTGATCCTAGATCAGCACTCCTACTCTGACAACAGGCTTGCTAAATGTTATACGGACCCTGGTCTGTCCTGGCCTAGTATGTAAGGTAGCAACTCTACTCCAATTGTTTGAGAACCCCCTTTTCCTAGTATGTAACCCAAAACAGGCTCTATCTATCAGGCGCTACTATCTACGTTTATTGTTTGTTGAAAAATGATAAAGCTGCTTCAAATGGGGTGAGGGTCTTTGAACATAGATATTCCTTGAAGTGTGTGCTCTCTGTTTGACAAACTCTTCTAGACTGAACCTCACTTTATGTTTTCATTATGAGCGAAAAAAACGTTTAGGAGACAATGAGACAAAGCCCATTCAGACTGTTGGGAGTGACAGTAGACTTACTGTATGCTTAAACCGGTGTTACAAAAGGGCTGTGACATACTTGGCATTCATTTTTTTGCGAATAGTCAAGCATATAGGCCTAGATATAAATCCTTACCCTGACAGTAGGCCTAGTCTATGGGACAGGAAAGACTGTAATCCATGGTTCAGATCAGGAGGATTTTGAGAGTCATTTTCATAGTGTCACAAAAGCACAAATGTCCCTGTCATTTCTGTCATGTCAACTGATTTTAGTCAGCAGCAAACCTTATGAACTGTTGATAGTCAGCAGCAACCCTCACTCATTCAAAGTGACCTTGTTTTAGCAGAAGGGCCAACATAGCATTAAAACCCTGGGGACCTGTGTTAAGTTGTTAAAGTCACAACCAGGTCCATCATGTGACCAGCCACACAAAGTTATAAACAGAAGTGATACCAATACAGTAAATGATTAACCATTACAAAACTATTTCTATTTCAGTTCTGAAGGGTGACACAACGTTTTTAGTCTGTACTTTTCCCCCCTCTCCCTATTTCTCTCCCTCCATCCCACTCTTTTTCCTGTCATAACCTCCTGTTTGTTCTACTACAGTGTGGACTGACTCAGGCTATGCCCTGGCTGTATTTCTGCCTTGTCATTGTGACTCAGCATTCTGGAGTCTCAAGCAGAGACGGAAGAGGAAGTGAAACATCCCACTCCCTAATGTTTTCTGTTTGGTATCTATGGGACAGCCACCTCCTTAAGCAGACAACGATAAACGGCCTGAGTGAACTACATTCATTATCCACCATATTTGGTCTCAAGGCCATTCTATTCTGTTATCACCGTGACAATGGTGGAAGGAGGCTGGGTCTCATGACTGTGCGTAAACCGACTTGAGCGGTGGTGAGTAGGTGGTGAGAGGGTGAAGACCGGCTGAGACCAGATTTGAAGAAATGGAAAAAGGGAAGAAGGGAACAGCAGGAACATATACTATACTATGCAACTTCTATATACTGTGTAAGGCATTTTTTAACAAATAGCTCTGAAATGATTGTTTCTGTTTAATTTTGGAGGGAAAATACATCAACAATTTTCCTGATAATTTGGTCAATATACCACAATCACAACTCAAATACCAATATTTTCTGTATTTCTTTAAACTGTTGGTCTAACTCTAACAATTCAGAAAGTCACCACCAAACTCCTAATTTAACAACATTTAAATGTCAAAACCCAGTTTTCTATTTCTGTCCCCTTCACATTTACCCAGTACATTGTCTTGAAATTAAATGTTTTTTAAAATATATATTTATTAGTATTTTCTCTCTCTTTATTGAGATATAAAGTTATGAATGAGAAGGGGAGACATACAGATATGAGGGCACAGGCAGGATTTGAACCCATGGGCCTCAAAGGGCAATGCGTGGTCTGGAGTCAGCAGCGCTACCACAAGACCAGGACCTGGCACAAAATTGCTAATTTCTAAAACCCAATTAACTTAAAAGGAGTCGAGGCAATCTAAGTCAACAAACTGTTGACTTGGTTACACATTTTAATTACAGTATCAATCCATAAAAAAGTATATGCAGTATATATACATTAGTCATGTAGGAAATCATGTCCAGTCCTGATAGGCTGAAGATTCTATCATGAATAAAATTATACAAGTATTGTGTAGGTCTACCTGGAAACAGAGAAGCTGATTACTTTGTTGTAGTGAAAGTGAACTAGGATAGAAAAACAATATAAATCAAATCGATGCCAACTTTGGACCAGTGGAAAGACAAGGGGAGTGGTCAAAATGTACACAATTGTTACCCGGAGGAAAATGGGAGGGGGTCATGCTTTTTCAATTTCAGTGAGGGGGAGGGTTTAGTATTTTTTTATTTAGTCCAGGAGAGGGTCAGGTAATTTGTAATCGATTATCAAACCTAATGCAATGGTACTATAAAGCGCTGGCGGTAGTGCTATAGGTTTGGGGATGTGCCAGAAATATATTTGCTATTTTCACAACCAAAAATGATCGCCGTGATGCTGGCAGTTGCACGAAAGGGCTGAATAAACCAGTTGTGGGTGTGTCGAGGCTTGCCCCTTACTGGCCAATCAGAATGTGCTTCATGGCTAAATATGTGGTTGCTTCAAGTTATGTATTTTCTCTAATTCCAATGTTTGTCCGTTATACACTGAACAAGTATATAAACGCAACATGTAAAGGGTTGGTCTCATGTTTCATGAGCTGAAATAAAAGATCCCAGAAATGTTCCATACCACAAAAACCTTATTTCTCAAAAATGTTGTGCACAAATTTGTTTACATCCCTGTTAGTGAGCATTTCTTCTTTGCCAAGATAATCCATCCACCTGACAGGTGTGGCATATCAAGAAGCTGATTAAACAGCATGATCATTACACAGGTGCACCTTGTGCTGGCCATGATAAAAGGCCACTCTAAAATGTGCAGTTTTGTCACACAACACAATGCCACAGATGTCTCAAGTTTTGAGGGAGTGGGCAATTGGCAAGCTGACTGCAGGAATGTCCACCAGAGCTATTGCCAGAGAATTTAATGTTCATTTCTCTACCATAAGCTGCCTCCAACATTGTTTTAGAGAATTTGGCAGTACGTCCAAACGGCCTCACAACCGCTGACCGTGTGCATGGCATTGTGTGGGTGAGCGGTTTGCTGATGTTAAAGTTGTGAACAGAGTGCCCCATGATGGCGGTGGGGTTATGGTATTGGGCAGGCATAAGCTACGGACAATGAACACAATTGAATTTTATCGATAGTAATTTGAATGCACAAAAACACCGTGATGAGATCCTGTTGCCCACTGTGAGGCCCATTTTTTTAATGTATCTGTGACCAACAGATGCATGGCTTCAATGTGGAAATAAATACATACAGTGCCTTGCAAATGTATTCACCCCCCTTGGCGTTTTTTCCTATTTTGTTGCATTACAACCTGTAATTTAAATGAAAAAAATAACTTGTTTCAAAAAATTCAAAAAAATAAATAACGGAAAAGTGGTGCGTGCATATGTATTCACCCCCTTGCTATGAAGCCCCTAAATAAGATCTGGTGCAACCAATTACCTTCAGAAGTCACATAATTAGTTAAATAAAGTCCACCTGTGTGCAATCTGTCACATGATCTGTCACATGATCTCAGTATATATACACCTGTTCTGAAAGGCCCCAGAGTCTGTAACACCACTAAGCAAGGGGCACCACCTAACAAGCGGCACCATGATGTCACGCTCGTTGAAGGACGGGTCAGACCAAGGCGCAGCGTGAAATGCATACATGTTTATTACAAAGATAAACACACGAACAAAAACAACGTAACGTGAAGTCCTCAGGCTAAACACAATACAAGCCTCTACACGGAACAAGATCCCACAACTAATGATTGCCAATAGGCTACTAAAG